TGAAAGTTTTGAAGCAGTTGAGAAACCATTGAATAAGAAAGTTGAAGATGAGTCTGAGGAGTTCTTGGAAAGTTTATCCAGTATAGCTCAATCTGTCAAGATTTACAAATTTGAAGAGATCAAAACAGCCACAGAAAACTTCAGTCCTACATGTTTGATTAAAGGATCTGTTTATCGGGGCACGATCAATGGTGATTTTGCTGCTATAAAGAAAATGAGTGGTGATGTATCCAAGGAAATTAATTTGTTAAGCAAAATCAATCATTTTAATCTTATTAGCCTCTCAGGAATTTGTTTTCAAGATGGCCACTGGTATCTTGTTTATGAATATGCTGTCAATGGACCATTAAGTGATTGGATATGCCACCAGAATAGTGATCAGAAGTCTCTTAATTGGACACAAAGAGTACAGATTTCTCTTGATGTGGCCACAGGGCTTAACTATTTGCATAGCTACACATCCCCTCCTCATGTTCACAAGGATCTAAACGGTAGTAATATTCTTCTGGATGGCGATTTAAGAGCCAAGATTGCTAATTTTGGTCTAGCAAGGTCAGCGGATGGAGAAGAAGGTGAGTTTGCCTTGACAAGGCACATAGTTGGGACCCAAGGTTACATGGCTCCTGAGTATTTGGAGAATGGTCTAGTCTCCCCGAAGCTGGATGTTTATGCATTTGGAGTTCTGTTGCTGGAAATTCTCACTGGAAACGAAGTTTCTGTTCTATATGAAGGCTCGAATACTTACTTGGCTGAGGTGTTGATCCCTGTGCTTCATGATGAAAATGCAAAGGAGAATTTGAGCAATTTCATTGATCCTTCTCTGCAAGGGAAGTACCCTGCGGAACTTGCCATTGCCATAGTCAGATTGATCGATAACTGCATAAAGAAAGATCCTTCTCATCGCGATGGTATGGATGAGATTGTCCAATCTCTTTCAAGAATTATGACAGCCACACACTCTTGGGAAATGTCATATAGCATTTCAGTATCACCTCAAACATTGCCCTAGATCAATGAATGTAAGGTTTTCATATTTCCTTTTCTTTTTGGGTTTTTCTCCTCTCACGTGTAGCACGATTTGCTATGTGCATAATGTTATTACCTTATTAATGAATTTTGAAGAGCTATTGCTCCAATTACCCTACATAAATATCAGTTTAACATTTCAATCAAGCCACCTTGTGTTCTCTTGTTATGTTCTTTCTTGCTCTGTGTAATGCATGTAGTCCTCCTCATGTTCCAGATATATTCCAGGGGGTAAACCAGTCCTGGATTTAACCTAATAAAATAGAGCGACATCAAACATAATAAATGTCTTGCTAACCGGTAAACCCCTAAAACAAAATACAGGAAACAGGACTAAACTTACCTTAAAACATGGATGAAGACAGCAACTTGCTGGCATTACCTTGTAGTGGCACTATATCATTGACCATGTCCTTTGTTTTTTCATCTCATATTCTTGTTAGCTATACAACTTGTGGACGCAATAGAGCAACCTTTTATCAAGCCATTGTGTGTTGTGTAACCTGGGTATAAGCTATGTTGAAGCTGTAGTTTCAGCTACACTTAAAACATACATCAAGTATAAAGAAAAGATCTAATTGATTGAAGGAATATACCTGTTTGTATGTTCCCACTGATGCCACAACATTCGACTAATCCAGCCGTCTGAAAACCAATAATTAATTAGATCATCTTTGATTTGTAGAATTCGCAGATCAAGAACCATAAAGTATACGAAGGTTTTCGCATTGATGATGGCATAGTTACGGGGTCAGCCTCTGGAAAAAATGGAAACATTGACTATTAGCTTTCAAATCCAATGATTAAATGCATATCTAGGAGCAATATGTGAAGGCAAGGCCGGCCGGCTAGTTGTTTAAATTAAATTAATTTAATTTAACTTTTAAAAAAGGCCAGCAGCCTAGTGGTTATTTTTATTATTATTGGAAAGCAAGTACCCTTAGGAATTTAACTAAAACGATTAATGCATATCCAAGCCTCTTGTAACCCAATGGGTTTGTTATTGGTATATTTAAGTTGTGATCATTTTCAACTGAAATCAGCTTAAATGGAGCGATTCAGATAGTCAGGAGTTATATAGTTGATCCCAATTTGGCTGAAAGGCATAATTTTGTGACTGAGACGAGCATAAATAGAGCAATATGGACAGTAAGGAGTCAAATAGCCAACCCCAATTTGCTTGGGATTGAGTCGTGGTTGGTATTGTTTATATTAAGTTGTGATGATTTTGGACTGCAACGATTTAAATGAAGTGATATGAACAACAATGTGAGAAATAGCCGAACCCAACTTGCTTGCGACGAAGCACACTAGTTGTTTTGTTTATATTAAGTTGTGACAAGTTTGTTTATATTAAGTTGTGATAAGTTACCGACTTCTATCTTAGTTGGTTTAGTAAAACAATATCATTTGGCATATAAAGATTTCAATTTTCAGGATAAATTGTCTATTCCTGGATTTGTTGCAGATGATGCCTTTAATAAGCAGCTGCATCTTAGTTTCTTGCAAGACTGTACAAAGCACCAGACCCGCTCATCAAAGCTAGGTCAACAGCTGATGATGCAATACAAATTTTTCTTAGACAATATTGCAATTAGACCATAAATCACCATTTTGAAACTTCCCTCATATACTAGTAATTGTTTAATACTACTTTTTAAATGTGGAAGGCTGCAATGGTTGTTAGATGAAAAGGTCGTTTAACTAGAAAATTACTCCAGATCATAAGTGGTCTACATCAATGTGGTAGCATCAATTTGTCAATGACATATGATGTTTGACTTTACACAGAAGACCATTTTATGTTTTCACTTGACTTATAGAGCCCATAAGAGCATGCACCTCAGCTTTCTGTGGTGCCACTGAATCACTCTGAACCAATAGAATACCATGGGAAATTTTCTGCTTATTCTTTTCTTGAGTTTCACACTTCTATCTTCAAAGGTCTGTGCCCAGCAAAATTATTCAGGTAATTCTGTCATGAGTTGTAAAGGAACCAATGAAACAGGAACTTCTTCCTCCTTCCTCTATTCTTGCAATGGTGAAAAGCTCACCTGTCGAGCATTTCTGATTTTTAGATCACTCCCTCCTTATAACTCAGTATCTTCCATTTCAAATCTCCTAACTTCGGACCCTGATGAGATTGTCCACATCAACAACATCTCAAGGTCTGAAATCTTGGATCAGAACAAAGAACTTATAGTTCCAGTAAATTGTTCATGTTCAGGTCAGTACTATCAGGCTGTCACCTCTTATGTTATACCAAGCAAATACGACACCTATTTTACAATCGCAAACAACACATATCAGGGGTTGTCTACTTGCAATGCTCTTGTACATGAAAATGTATACAATCCAATGGATTTGCTTCCTGGTTTAAATTTGCGAGTACCGCTCAGATGTGCCTGTCCTACAAAGGATCAGACTAGAAATGGTGTAAAATATCTGCTAACTCATTTGGTTACTTGGGGAGACAATGTTTCTACCATTAGCGCGCAGTTCAGTATCAGTAGTCAAAGTACAGCATATGCAAATGGATTTTCTGAAAATTCAGTTCTTTATCCTTTCACAACTATATTGATTCCTCTGCCAAAAGAACCTTCAAGCTCCCAAACAAGGACTATTAATAGAGCAAGGACTGCAATCAATTACCCTTCTAAGCACAAAATATCGTACAAAAGTCTTTTTATTGGGGTAGGAGCTGGTGTTTCCCTTGCAGTCCTTTGTTTTATATTGTTCATTGTCTTAAAGCATAAAAAGGAAAACAAAAGAAGTGAAGTAGTACTTGGTAAAGGAAGAGAAGGGAAACAGAAATGGAATTTACAAGAACATGTCCTGGAAAGGATAGTTGGTGTCGATCAGATAATAAAAGTCTATGACTTTGAAGAACTGGTGGCTGCAACAGAAAACTTCAGCCCTCGAAAAAGACTTGGTAATTATGTTTATAAAGGGTTCGTTCGAGGAAAGTTGTCAGCCATTAAGGAGATGAGAACAGACATATCGAAGGAGGTTAAGTTCTTTTCAAAGATCAACCATTTCAATTTAATTACCCTCACTGGTGTCTGTAAGCATAATCAATTATCTTATCTTGTTTTTGAGTTCATGGAAAATGGATCCTTAAAAGACTGGCTTCACAAGGATGATAATCCAGAGGCTGAGAGCTGGAACTTCAGAATTCGTATTGCCTTAGATATCGCTGATGGTCTAGATTACATTCATAACTTCACAGCTCCAGCTTATGTGCACAATAACATTACTAGTAGCAGTATCTTACTTAACAGAGATCTAAGGGCCAAGATTGCTGATTTCAGCCTGGCGAGATCAGCTGACAATGAAAAGTCAAGTTCATCTATGAAATGCGTCAAGGGGAGAAATGGCTACTTGGCACCTGAGTACCTCGAAGCTGTTCAGGTTACTCCAAAAATAGATATCTATGCATTTGGAGTCATTCTGTTGGAGATAATTACAGGAAAAGGGGCTGTTTTCGAGCAGGATGGAAAAGAAGTATTGTTATCGGAGACAGTGCTTGGAATTATGGATGAAGAATCTAACATTCAAGAATTTGCAGATTCCAGGCTACAAGTTAAGCACCCTCTTGGTTTCATAATTCAACAGACTAATCTTGTGCTTCGATTGGTGAAACTATGTGCAGCATGCTTGAAGACAGAACCTGAAGAAAGACCAACTGCTGCAGAAATAATATCTACCTTAATGAAAATCCAGTCAGATGTACAAAACTAGAGAACTTGGGAACAGAATGAATAAGTGCTCATATGTTATATTCAGACAGGTCTCAGTAGTGAATGTTTCTTAAATGTAAAGTTATGACTTAAGCTGTGGCCTCTGTAATGTTCATTTGATTCCTCTTTCTNGAGTCTGAGGGATAAACACAAATTGCTGGTCAGTGGGCGCTGAATCTAAAACATCACTTCTTGATAGATGCGACTCTACAGGATGTACAATGGCAACTGTTAAGAAGAATACAGGGAATAACTAGACGCGAGGACTCCAATTTACAACATATTATGGAGAAAATGCTGAGTTTTGCTGCTTATATGGAGTCAATAGGTATTGAACAGCCAATCTCCCTCTTCTGCAACGTAGAAAAAAAATGAAGCGCCCTTTGGAGACTGGAAAAAAGATAATTCAGCGTTACTATGTTTAGGTTTCCTTTATATGAACAAGTATACAACTTAAAAGTATCGGAGATACATTATGTGTGCATCTTATAGATGCATTTACTCTTTACCTTTTCATTATTGGACTATTATTATGATGATTATCATCTCTGTGTGGTATTTGGTCCTATAAAACAAGAATCGAGTTGAAGTGGAAACACTCAGAGTGACTGAATAATTTAACAAGGGAAGGTTCCTGTAAGCTTGATATGATCAAGTGTTGTCTTCAGGCCATACTTGAGCACTGCCTTATTACCTTCTCTGAATCCATCCCCATAAGCTGCTGATGTGTCTGATTCAATCTGGTGCTTGAAAAAATCACCCAATTTCTTCTCAAACTCAGAACGTTTCCCTTTCTTTGATGAAGTAGTAGATGGTGATGAAGAGGATGATGAGGACGCCGAGGAAGATGCAGAAGTACTATTACTACCAGAACCAGCTATAATTTCAGACTCCAACCACATGTGAGCTAATACTTGGCAGATACCTTCTTCAACTTCTGGACTTAAACTCGGATAACCTACAATCATTTAAATGGAAAAGCTACCTTCAGAACGAGAAAAGGACATAATATACAAGTAGTTATGGAATGAAAGATCCACCTTTAAGCCTCAGCCATGCATGCATCATTTCATGAGCCAGAATTGAACCAGTCAATAACCTGGACAATCGTCAAGTATAAGTAAATTTGTTGTGGGACATAGTTAAGTAACATTTTCTTTTTGGTATCATGAGGAACAATTTTTTAGACTATCATATTAAACATGGACAGAAGAGTGGCATTTATTACCTAGGGAGACCATACAAGATTAAAATAGCTGTCACTTCACATCGTCGAATTAACCTGTAAGGCTCAGTAAACATATCTAAAATCCGATAACTACCAATCCGTGGCCGCCTTGAAATCTGAAATGTTTGTTGTGATAAAGACAGATTTCAATTTGAACACAATTATGGCCATTAAGGAAAGTGCAGAAGAAGGGAAGATTCATACAGTGCTAATGGTCTGTTCTTCAGACAGGCAGAGTCCTCGAGTCTCAGGCATGTGATGATGACCCTATCAAGATGAACAAACAAAAGCTAGAAGTTGAGTAACAGCTTTCTCAACCTCTGAACGTATAGTGTTTTAAGAAATGGATAAGTCTCACATTTTTTTCTCCTTCCATCGCTTCATTTAAGGCTTGTCTTTCCACTAGAAGCAAAGGAATTTGCTGCTCTACTTTCATATTTAAACCTTCGTAAAATTCTTGTATCTCAAGATAAAGTGGTTGGCATTCATGAGTATCCATTATTGCAGAGTCCAAGCACTCCAGACACAGCTTCCTACCATCATCATTTATCAAATATCTGGCATCTACGGGCTACAAAATTTAGAAAGCCTAATATTATTCAACAGGCACAAGAAAAAGAATGTCGCAAATAGTGACATATAATTCAGGTTTAATAATATCCCTATTCGTTCTGCTAATGTTTATGGCAGATACGAACTTTACATCCTTAAAAACCATGTCAAAACCCAAATGAAAATGTAGCAGTAGTATACTAGCAACTAACCTCCATTCTCTCACAACTGCAACAACGAGGTGTCCCATCAGTTTCATGTGATGGGCAATACTTCTGAAGCCAGAAAGGATGAGCCCTATATTCAATTAGACCAGCCGGATTTGTTGGAATCTAAAAAAAATAGAGAAAATATGGTTAGTCATAGTTTACCAGACAATGAAGCTGTTTAATACAGTAAAGGTCACTGTGCAATACCACAATAATAAAATGTCAATCTCAGCAAAAAAATCGAATGAATTCCACAAAACCTCTTAAGGCATCTCCCTGAGGATTGCTCGAGTCAAGCGGAAATTAAATTAAGGGCTCAATTTTGCTCATATCCATATATAATAATAGGAGTTCTAGTTGCTTTGCCTTCTATTTTGTTCTTTTTTTTTTCCTGATCTTTTCCCTCTAGTAGAATCAGTAGACTGTGTGAATGCGACAACGAAATGAAATTGCATTTGCTTGGCTAAAGTGGAGAAGTTGCAACAGCCTAAAATATGGAGCAGAAACATTTCATATGCTCGCTAAGTATTTCGATGGCAAATAAAACATACAACAAGATCAAATAATAGACAGAAAAAGCTTCTTGAGGAAGGCCGCTCTTATATCTGATCTAAAGTAGTAAATATGGAGATTGGAACTAGGAAGAATGTGATGCTGGTTAGAAGATCCAAAAGAACAATGAAAAGCACAAATTTGGATATGAATGAACACTTACGAAGTTCTTGCAAACATCACATTTTGGGTGATGCTGTTCTTTGTAGCATGATTTATGGTACGGACGGTTATCTGACATCGAAAACTGAAAAAAGAAGAAGATAAAGTTGCTTTTATATTCAACAATTCAAGGTAGTAATAATTGAAAGAACCATGGGATAAAACTTCAACAAGTATTTGAGTATATTTAGACCTCATAGTCAGAAATCGGTTGATTGCAACCATGGCAACGGAAACATTCTGGATGCCAAACAGCTCCCATGCAACTTAAATATCTTCCATGACCAATTTCAGCATTACAACCGGCACATACCCTACACTCAGACAAAATGGTACATAAGGTAGTCTGTACACAAATCTGAAAGAAAATAAAGTTTGAAATGACAAAGACGCTCTGAGAAGTCTTATATTGCCAAGAAATATAGATGAGTCCAGGGCATATGCAGATTTATCTGCAAAGATACAACTCTAAGGGCTTGCTGGAGCTCTTTCTCTGTTGAAATGCAAGAGAAAATGAACGAAGCTGTTCAGAGTACAAGAAATTAACCATCTAGTTTTCGGTATGATTTGAGACATCAATCTTTTGAATTTGTGAAAATAAATTTACATACATATTTAGAGGCAATTCCAAGTAAATAAACAACAGTGAATAGCATACATATACATATCAGACCACCGCTCTTCTTTAACATACGACTGCCTCTTCCATTCTTCTTTTAGTGTTTAAAGCATCAATCTCAGCCATGATGCCAGAGAAAGATTGAAGCAGAAGGATGAGTTTATAGAAGAGGTGTTACCTATATCCATGTGGATACGAGTGTGAGACTGGTGGAAAGAAACTTCCATAATCATATCGAGGTGGAGACGACTCCACATTCAAACTTTCCTGAAGAGCCTTGGCAAGCGCCTCGTCTTCCTCCAAGTTGGGTTCACTCTCTATTAAGTAGTGATACAAGATTAAGATATACATGATTAGCAATTAACCACCAATATACTAGAACTGGATAAGAAATTATAGGTTTGCCTAGATACTATATAACCCCTAAAAACACAATTCAAGTAAAAGAACAACAGTAAATAAGTTCTATTATGTCTGACCACTGAAAAACAAATTTAATTTTCAGATTGCTTGCGCATTTATAACCACACAGATTCTCCAAAGAAAGTTTAGGATAAAATTTGCAGGACCACCTCAATAGGGTGAGCATTTTTCACACTTTTTAGATCTACTATGCAGTTCGATAATGAAGTCAACGAGAAATTATCGAGTGGAAACAAGAAGACAGCTTCTTTGTTGTTTACATTATCGTTATTCACCAGATGATGTAGACAATCAGAAGTTCAATCTTTATACATGGGTGACATCCATATCGAATCCTAGTCATGCTACTTACCGATTACTTTTTTCCCTTTCTGATCCTCTTCAGCTAGAGAAAGTGCAATGGCACGATCAATTTCTTCATTATCGAAATCTGACAATGCATCCTACACTCAGTCCGTATTATCATATTCAGTTAGCAAGGGAAAGCCTTATTTAAGAGTTAGAACTTTCAGAGCATTTTCTCAGCAACACAGCTTGGGAAAATGCTCAGTTTCTCCTGCACCAAGAAGCTATAATAAACAGAACAACTTGAAAGAGATGGAGAAAAAAAGTTAAGCAAATTAGCAATCGAACACTAATTACCACTGAGGCAGTTGGTCCCTCCCAAATTGTATTGTCCTCATACCCTCCCTGATATTGCCCTCCTTCGTGCCCCGAATGATATTGTCCTAGGTCGTAGCCCCCATGATATTGCCCACTCTCATACCCCCCATGATATTGCCCACCAGAGATCCTGTGAGTGGAACCTCCAAATATCTTTTCTAGCCAGCCCATAACACAATTGCCGTCACTACTGCACAACAATAACTACGGATCAATCGCAAGCAAGTTGGCGTCAGCTATATGAATCAGTCACTGGTATGTTGGCATTAAAAACCTGCAAAGCCAAATAAGGATATCGATTAGTTAACAATAGAATTGTTTGTGGACTGGATCATCCATATCTGCCAGTAATCTCAAACTGATCCTATAAGCAACAAAACTAATATGAGCTTTGCAGAGATGGAACTGCACATACAAATAGCAAATTATCTACAAAGAATGAATGAAGAATATCATTAACAGAGGAAATGGAGCCTCTAAATAAAGCAAATCCATCATGACCACGAACACAAGCCAATAATCAGCTGATGAAAAAGGATGATCTTTTCAAAACTTGCAATAAAATGATCAGCATAATATGCTGCTATATATCAATCAATCAATCAAACCCAGTGAAATCCCAGTGTGTACGAGAAACTCATGGAGTAATAAATAAGGTGAACACTCATCACTGAACAACGACCCCCCACCAACCGTCAAAAAACAACCGACTATTGATTTGAGGTCTAATATGAATTACTATGATAAGTTAAAAGAAACAGAAAATTCATACAACAAACTGTTCAAAGGAACAGAGAAGAGTCGTTATGTTTTTGGAATCTCACTTCTAAAAAGTTAAAAGAATCAGCACAATTTTGAAGGAATCTGATGAATAAGGAGCAGACAAAACATCAAATTCAGTTTAAAGGTAGGTCATGCCCCTGAATTGGAGATGACACGAGAGATACACATATCCCCCACCACCATCATTCTACACAAGAATATAAGAAAAAAACTTGGGAAAATTACAATAAGAATAAAAGTGAAAGATCATATCACAGCAGTGGGCAGTGGGGAATTCTTCTTGGCAGGTTCAGAGGAACATTCTAGTGGAAGTGTGAAAAAAAGACTTTAAAAAAAAGGAGAAACCAAATAAAGGACTTGAATTCCACGCAAAAATGGACCCAGAAAAAAAATAAAGAAGTTCAAAACTTTTCCAAATCCAAAGTACAGTAATTACATCAATACCTTCCTCAAAAATTGATTCAAGGGGGTATGAAAAAAAATCCGATTTTTCAAAACTGAAAAGTTTTGTGCTTTTCTTGGAGGTGGGACCTTTGGTCCATTATAATTTGATCATCAGTCCACAATATGTCAAAAACCCATAATTCATGTGTGTTATTGAGAATGCGTCAGCAGAAAAAGAGAAGAAGATTTTTGGGTCATATTCCATACTGTTGATTCTTTTGGCTTTTTGCTCCAAGTGGGTACTGTGCAGTGGACTTGATTAAGTCTTGCATTTGCTTTGCTTTTTTGGTGTAAGATGAAATGAAGGAGAATTTTCTTGTTTAATCAAAAGTGAAGATTTTGAGTGGTGTGGCAGGTGAAAAGTACAAATCAAAGCTCAGAAAATTGACAAGTGGCCAAATGAAGATCGCATCTCAAAGTGGCTGCTATCTAACTTTGCTTAACGTTCTGACACCAAGTGCCTGTCTACTACTGTCTATATTGTCCTATAAAATCAACTTTGCTTTTCTAACTTATAACTCTGGAAAAGGCACTTCACCCGCTCTGTTCTGACTTCAAGACATCCAGTGCCTGACTGGTACTTCTCCACGACGCACGTAATATTAAGTTACTAACCGAACCAAGTTTTATGTGCTTTTTTTTTGGTTAGTTGTGAGAACTACTCCATTTTCTTTTATAAATAATAATAATATAATGTCTAGATTAGTTTGTGTGCACCTTAGCTCTCTGCTAGTATATTGACTAGCAAAATTTAGACATATGAAAAAGCTTACGTACTTATTTGAACCTATCACTCATAATTTTCACCCGTTTTATTTCATGTCCACTTCTCTTTGTACTTTTAGTTTTTAGTTACGTTTTATATTGGTTTTAATCATCGAAAAATAAAATTATCTATTTAGAGAAATATATTACTCCTTCTATTTCAATTTAGATAACATATTTTACTTATTAGTCCGTTTAAAAAAGAATGACATATTTTTTACAATTGGAAATAATTCAACTTTAAACTCTTCATTTTACGCATTTACCATTAATGACAAGCTTTTATAACCATACAAATGTCATGACCCCACAAAGCTTTTACCCCTTAAGCTTTTAAGACCACAAGTTAAAAGTCTTATTTTTTCCTTAAACTTCGTACCGAGTCAAACTACCTCATCTAAATTGAAACGTATTTGACCCAAAAGATATTGAAACCTTTTCGATTAAATCAATTAAAGAAGATGAAGAGGTAAATCTCAGCTAAGTATAGTAAACTCTAGAATGAAAGATATAAGGGATGGATAAGGTGGATAGTATTTCTTGGTCTCATGAAACCAAATGATTAAGCCAAAAAAATTTGACAACCTTGAATGTAGAAAGATATTACAATGGGTGTTCTTAGCCAAAAGTTCGTATCCTTTACAAGGGTTTTTTACTCACTATATATAAGGGACAATCCCCTCCTGAACCTTAAAAGACATATCATAGAGAATATTCGAAAGTATATTCCTACTGTCTCCTGTTGGGTCTGTATTACTGCAAAAGTCATGCGTCCTTTAACTGTTGTTGATCGTCGTCGCCTTCAACGGCCACAGGACGTCGTGTCGTGAAGATCTCGTCTCTTGTCGTATTCGTCAGTAGTCGTAGTCGTCCAAATTTGGACCTATACAGTTGCTTGTCGAGGTTGCGACTTGGTGCGTCCTCGATAAGTGGACATCGCCCACACCTATGGAGAAATTTGGTTTTGAGAATCGTCATGGTTTGGCTAACAACGGATGGTTAGCGTGCCCAACGATACCCTGGGTGGTGTGTCTTATCGGGAAATGACATCACTCCCACGTGCGTCATCGTTATGCGTGTTTTAGAGACAGAGGCTGACGGTTTGTTGCTTCGATTTCGGTGCCATTTTGCAGCCTTCCGCTTCGATTCTGGCACCACCCAATCCTATAAATAGGTGGGGGGTTATTTTTTCAAAAACTCTTGGTCATTTCGTCTCTGGTTATCCTTTCTCATCCCTCCTGTGTTTTCTCCAACAATTTCTTTGCTTCCTCTCTTCCATTCTCCGTTCTTAGCTTTTTCTATCATATTAACACATCTTCCTGTAACGACCAGGTCAGTCGTTCTGAGAGTTATAGGCCTGTTTCCCCCATTTCTATTTCTTTATGTGTTGTTCAGTTGTGTTGAGTTGTATCGAGTTGGTAGGTTTGGGTTCGGAGTAGTTTTGGAGTGAAATGATCACTTAGTCTCTTAGTTAGAAAGATAAGTTAGAAAAGTCAACCGGAAGTTGACTTATGAATAATCGAATTCAGATTTGGATTTTTATGATTCGATTAGCTTCATTGGGTGATTTTAGACTTAGAAGTGTGTTCGGAATGTAATTTGAAGGTTAGTGGTAGAATTAGGTTTGAATTGGTGAAAGTTGGAAGTTTAGAAATTCTTAGGCTTGAATTCGAGGTTGATTTGGTGTTTTGGTGTTGTTTTGGAGGTTCGACTAAGTTCGGGTAGTGATATATGACTTGTTAAAATTATTGGTTGAGATTCCGAGGACCTCGAGTGAGTTTTGGATAGGTTTGGGTTGTGTTGCGCTCGTTTTTCTTATGTTTAACGCTGTTTCTTCAAGCGTAAATGATATCATATTGAATAAATGAGCTCCGATTTCATTTTTGATTGTAGCATTAGATCCGTATCATAATTACGGACCTGTAGTAAAAAAGAATCGTCGAATTTGGACATCGTATGAGGATTTTATGATCATTTTGCTAAGAATTAGGTTGCGAGATTTTTCAGATTAATTACGAAATTGCCACTAGTAGGGTATTTAAAAATCTATACTATTTGCAAATATTAAAACCTACATATCTCATTCATTATAAGGTCAAATTGAGTGATTCAAAAGCCTAACTTGACTAGAATTTCACAAGGAATCCATTGGAGGCATAAAATACGAGTTTCATAATTTTTTGGCATGAGAAACGAGGTAGAATAACTGACAGAAAAATATATAAAATTGGGGTTTGTTCATTTGGTCATATTTTGAGTTGGGGATGTCGGATTTAGGCAATATTGGAGGCAATTTTCACCATATGGATTGGGGTAAGTGTTCTCTACTCGGTTTTGATTATATTTCATGAATCCATCATCATTTTTTGGATTTGATTGATGATTTCAAAGTGAAATTGAGGGAGTTAGGGTTTGAGTTTTGGAGAGTTTTAAGTGAGGATTTGAGGGACCAAACGGAGTCCGATTTTGATAAATTTTATATGGTTAGACTCGGGAGAGAATGAGGTTTATGATTCTGCCATTTTTGATTGATTCTGAGATGTGGGCCCGGGGGCTAGATTTTGGCCGATTTCAGATTTTTGGCATATTTTGTAGTTTTTATTGTGGAATTCGATTCTTTAGAACATGGTGATGGTATTAATCTGATTATGGTTAGATTTGAAGCTTTTGGAGACCGAGTCCAGAGACGAGGGCATCCCGAAGTAGGATTTTATGCGGTTGATGTAAGTAACAGTTTTAACTCAGGCTTTGAGGGTATAAACCCGGAGAATTTGATATCCTGCGATTATTTGGAGGTGATACCCACGCTAGGTGACGGGCGTGTGGGTGTATATCTCTAGGGATTGAGACTTGGTCTATCCCGTGAGGCTGCGAGGCCTAATAGCTATTATCCGTGGTTATGTATTTACTTGTTGTTGAACTTGTTTGCCTTCATGTTAGAGATCATGCTAAGGCTTTATTCATTCTCACATTATTTGTACTCAGTCATAGAAATTATTGTACATGTGTACCTCAGTCTCTATTATTTGCTAATATGTTGTGATACTTGATGTGGGTTGTGTTCCCTTATTTGTTGATGATGGTGAGGCTAGTGAAGTACATGATTGAGTGAGACCAATGTCCTGATTGTGAGGATAATAATACCATAGCGTGTGAGTTGTCCGCGTAGCACGTGAGTTGACTGTGCGGGTCCAGGTATTGATACCATAGCGCGTGAGTTGTCCGCGTAGCACGTGAGTTGACCGTGCGGATTCATATATTGATATAATGGCCTAGTTGTGAGGATATTAATACTATAGCACGTGAGTAATCCACGTAGCACATGAGTTGACCGTGCGGGTTCAGGTATTTATGTCATAGCGCGTGAGTTGTCCGCGTAGCACCTGAGTTGACCGTGCGGATCCAGGTATTGATATGATGGTACGTGAGTTGTCCGTGCTTAGCGCTTGGGCTTTGGGAGCCCCTCCGGAGTCTATACACACCCCTAGTGAGCGCAGAGTGTTGAGTGTATTGAGTGTTGAGTGTTGAGTGTATTGAGTGTTGAGTGCTGAGTGTGAGTGCTGAGTGATGGAGTGACATTGTTGTGAAGTTACATTTACTTTTGTTGTTGTTGCATTTATCTGTTAAATTTCTTTGTGGCATTTACTGAGTTATGAAATTTACCTATTTATTCGTGTTATTTTTAAATTGTGAAAATAAATAATTGGACTATTTTGTATAGCTCATCACTACTGCTTAGTTCCTTCGTTATTTCTGTTACTACTGAGGTA